GCACCATCCGGAAAAGTTAGGACAATTCCACAGGTAATAATTCTTTCTCTTTATTAATACTTTACGATTTTTCTTACCTAAATCATTTTCCTTATGATCTAGAAAAGTTATCTTACCTTCCAGAAAGCAAATATCCAAGCTATTTTTAAAAAAATTGGACAAATTAATCAAACCTTATTGGACAATGAAAAAACTCAGAATATTGCACTGTCATCCGATGAAATTTCGAATTTGGAAAAATTGGCTCAATTTTTGCAAAGCCCTTCAGCTTCAGTAATCGAACATCAAAGCGAATTTGACATAATTCGTAAAATAATAACTCAATGGCCATTTGATAATCGATTTCCAGGTATTTACTATTATATATTTTATTGCTACTAATACTTTCATTTTATTAAAAATTTTGTTTACCTTAAATAATTTAGGGATTGACTTACTGCGTCTCCAAATACTTCACACCTCAATCCCTTCCAAATACGTTGATAATGATGGAAGTATTCTAGATTTGATCACTAGGTCAACTGGTATTAAAACCTGGCCTAAAGACAGCATACCTAATAAAGGACAAGAAACAAATGTTATGTTAGGTTTGAGGGCATTATCAAATTTATTTGATAATAAAGAAGGAAGGGATATTTTAGGACGTGAGGCTTCTAAGGTGATAAGAATAAAAATTATAAGAAAAAGCTCTTTTATATTGTATTTAGATAATAACATATTTATTTCTAGGTTTTGGAATTATTATCATCATCCACATGGAACAAAAGTTCCAATAAAAATAATCGTATTGCTCGGGTGACTGTGTATCTCAAGTAACCGAAAAGATTCACGATTTTTATTTTTCATGATGTTTTTCATAATTGGATACTTAAATAATTTTTTTTTTTTGATTTCCCCAGTTTTGCTGTTTTAAATCAGACGAGTCCAGATGATAATAATATTCTTCAAATGATGGAAATATTGGTGGAGGTATGCTGGTTTACGCAGCCATTGATTATATTGCTAATTTCTATTTTTTTGTGAATTAATTATTTTATACATATTTATCATAGCTTCTCAAGTCAGAAACTGATTCTGAAGTTATATATAGAGCTCTCGTAACTTTGGGAACATTGGTATATATTGTTGTTATCGGCTGTTACTACTTCTTGATACTTTAAATTAATATTGTAAATTTTTTTCAGATTAATCAAAATCAAGTTGCTAAAGATGCTGCTGCGGCTTTTGATGTGAAACTTGCTGTAGAAGTAGTATCCACAAAAGTAAAAGAAGATAGAATTAGTCGGGTTATTGATGAGATAGAATTTTAGATATATCGTGATTTAATCTTCTTTGAAATATATTTGTTGCAATGAAAAGAATAATATAGTAATCTACTATTCAAAGAATGTGATTAAAAATTATTGTAATGACGTTTTAACACGGAAACCTAGCGTAACCAAATCGCGGACTCGTGATCAATTTCGCCGATCATATTTATAAAAGGTTTAATTAATTTAACGTAGAAATTTATTTTTTTAAACCAATCAAAATTATTATTCATATTATTTTCGTTCCAAATATAAAAAAAATTAAAAAAAAAAATTTTTTTTTTATATTAATTATTTTTGTGTATGATTTTTTGGAAAATCGAGCCTTCAATCTGAAAATTAATAAAATATAGTAATCAAAGATCAATTTTTTTCTGGTGATTTAATATTAATGAATTTGTCTTTATTTTTTAAAAAAAAATAATAAAATTACCTATACTTTTATCATAAATTAAATAAAAATTTTGTAGTAGTAATGGTAAAATAGGAGAAGGAGAAATATCATCTAAAAAATAATTAAAAAAAATAATTTTTTGTGAAAGTTGATTATATAATTCATACTATTTTTTTTTTTTTTTTAAATAAGAAGTTAGTTATTATCATTATTATCATTATCATAATTTTCTTTATTTTTTTACAATTATTAAATCGTGACAATATTATAAGTATTTTTTAATATTTTCTTTTATTAACCAATTTTCCATTTCAACTTGAATTGTCAGATTTCTTTTTTTTAACTATTGTTACTATATAATAAATACTTTATATATCTTTTCTATCACCTTTGATAGAAGATTTATGTCTTGGTTTTAGTAGTTAATCTTGAAATTAACTTTCAAAAATAACATATAAAAACAAATTTCTAACTTTAAAAAATAAAAAAATAAAATAAATATTATAAATAGTGGAATGTTCTAGAATATTCTACTTGTACTAGACTAATATATTCTAGGCCATTAATTAATATGTCTTAGAGCATTATAATCTATTAATTAATATGTCCTAAAGATAGGACCTACTTTCCCTCTCTGTGACTTATTGATCAGTAAATATGGATATGATGTGCGCCTATTTGATTGCCTTTTAAAATACTGAAATGTTGTAAAAAAGAGGTGATAGGTAACACAATGAATTTTAGCCGACTCTATGGTATAATTCTAGTTGATCTTTTAGGCATGTGATTTAAGGATCCAATTTAGTGTCATGAAAGCATTGTGATAGCTGTCATGGAACTGGAGGGAAGCTAAAGAGGTTTTATTGGTTTACCAGTTTTGTGTTAGTTTGGATGCCAAGTTATTATATTCAAAGTTTTGGCTAAAATTGTTTAATAGTGTTAGTTGAAATTAAGCGAATAAGTCTTATGCAAAGACTATACTGTAGCTGAATACATATCTAGAAAGTGAAGTCTTTTTCCAATTTTTTATATAATATTTCTGAAGAAGACTTCACTTTCAAATACATATCTACCTGTCTTCCTTTTACAATTTGCTTACTAGCTTGTTATACGTCTCTTTTTTTAGAAGATGAAAAAATAAATGCACCAATGGAAGTACTTATACCTGAATACATACTAGTGTTAGGGTAGTCTTTTGCCATTTTATATAATATAATTATACAGAAGATTACCCAAAATACATATACCCGACTACATACTAGTAACAGGGTAGGTAAGTGCCAATATTTATATAATAGATTACGCACTTACCTACCCTTATATTTGCCTATTAAGAATGTGCTTATTCCCATTTTTTTACCATCTTGTTATATGTTTCTTTTTACAACCATCAAAAAATAATTAAACATTTCCGATCTTTATAAAGATATATAATTCTTTTCAAACTGATATCATGCATATCCTAATTATTTTCGACTAACTGATTACATTGGATTTGGCCTAACGCTTACCCACTACGACAGCGCTGAGTTCTTAACTGCTAGCCTATCACATAATGATATTGTGGTAGAATTCGATA